TAATCAGCAAACAACAGATAACAGCAACTTTAAATTAAATATTATAAATAGAAAGAACTAGGTATATTCGTGTTACACGTAATATTTGCATAAGATAGGAATAGACATTTATTTACATAAGATAACGATAGTTCGATTTAGCTAGCTCTCAACTGTTATCACATTGTCAACGAAAATACGCAGTATTCTATTCAGCAAATAGCATGAAGGTAGAAGTATTACATTCTAACATTTAATTAATAATCGTTATAATTATATACGATAATTAATAAATATAATATACATATACAGTGACTAATAATAATAATAATGTACAATAATTAATATTATAATACTTAATTATATTTATTAAATATTACAATATTACAATAATATTAATGTTACGAACCCACTGCCTTTCCCCCACACATTGTTATTAGATACTGTCATAATATTCTTATTAACATTATTAATATTAGATATTATTTTTGTGGTTGTATAACACTTGATAATAAGTTAAATAGCAATATATTTTATAACAATAACTATAAACACACGTAAAAAGAAATAATGATAATTTGCGCTTCTCATGTTTTACCCCCAGTTACCCTGTATGATCCGTTCGTTTAACAAATCTCGAGACGATTCGACATACTCACTACATTCACGCCATCACTCACATCTTATTATTAAACCAATTCCACAATTTTATTATTATTAACATTATTATTAGATACTATTATTATCATAACCAAACACCTTTATAATTATAAACCAAAACGCCAAGCAACCGCCACAGGTAGGAAGGGAGCAAAGTTGGGAAAAACCCATGAAGCGACGCTCGACTCCAGGCCCTTTTCCTGACCATTGGTTGGTCGGAAGCAAGGTGCCAAAGCTAGTATAAAACCGACGTACCTGAACAAGGTCGACAGACAGTGTAAAACCATACACCTAGAACGAAACCCGTTCGAACTAAACATTAAATAAAACGACAGATAGTTTAAAACGATACTCCTAGAACGACACCCGTTCGAACTAAACATTTAATAAAACACCATCAAACACATTTCTGGAATTTTACACCTTTAACCAAGCTGAAACGAAGGCGATCTCTCAATCGTTACGGCCCGTTCCGTAACAATTAAATATAATATTAATTATTGTAAAGAGTAAAGATTGTAATTTTTCGAAATTTTCCAACTTCTGAGCAAATCGAGAATTTCGTAGTACATATATATTTCTGGATTCTCGATCGAACTAAAATTTATTTTCCAAACATCGTAGTAAATTAATATTCCCCTATCTAAGTTAACCAAACGAGAGTGCATTGTGGTACTCCCTTGGGAATCCTAATTTATTTAGTACAACTCACCCAAGAATACTTCAACAGAGCCTATAATTTCCCCTTCAGCTTTACCTTCTTCGGATCAGGCTATGTCCCAGGGAAACCTCGGCGAGCCAAGATTTATGAATCGCCAAGTTTCGCGACGGACACGAGATTCTCGAATAAAGGCAAGGGAAACGATTTCATGATCTCACAGACAGGGAAATCCATGGTACACTTTGAAGAATCGTATTGTTACAGTACGGTCTGGCATTGTTACCGAGATTCGATTAGATCGAGAATATATAATTCTTTACGCACGCAAATTTCAACCGGGTGAAAGTAAAAATCACCGGAACCTAAATGGAACGTCGTGTTTCTCGAATTTTGCATTCGAATACCTTCCTTGTTCGTGGCGGAATAGAGTTGAATCAATTTGCATTATTTACGTTATTAAGCCTCGTTACGTTTTCTAAACCTAATATGGTGTTTTACCTTGAACAAGTGCAAAGTCGTGTATTACGAAGCTGCGTGTATGTTCATTCGTTTACCGAATGATTATTATCTAGAGATAATCGTGGAATAATTTGTTTATATAAAGTTTGGATGGAATCACTTGAAATATTTCCGAGGAAAATTGAATTGGAAAGCTAACTTTAGGTAACACTTGAAATCGGTGAAGAAAGAGCTGTGTAACTTAAAGTAAAAGTTGAGGAAAAGAAATGTAGGTAAACGAAGAGTGAAGGATTACTGTGATTTAATGTTGCAACGTAAAATTTTTGTTTGGTTCGTCCTTTAATGTCTGAACCTTAGTGATAGCATATTTTAGTTACTATTGGTAACTGGTTACAGAGTGAAATTGGAATTATACATTTTTCGACGAAAGAAGAAAATTTTTTTAATTTTGGTACTTACAGTGTTTTTTACAAGAACTCTTCAATTATAGATAATGTGACGGGAAAAAGAAATTCCACTGCTTACGAAACTCGAATCCAGACCTTCCGCATACAAAGCGATCTCCTTATGCGATGACCCACTGCACATTGTTGAATACCGTGTAAACTTTCAGGATTTTGTAGAAATAATATGAATTTTGTGTGAAAAATGCACATTGCAATGAAATATTTTACAGGATGTCGTTTTTCGACCTCTAGATTCACCCTTCCAAATTTCGTTAGAATCCTTGGAGGACCTTGTAAGGCTAATATTCGCAAAAATATTTCCAATTCACAAAAATATATCACGATTTTCTCAAGTGTAAAGAAAGACACATAAACATATATTTAGTAAAAATAAATGTAAAAAAATATTTCCAATGCTAAGGCTAACATTTCCCAAAAATATTTCTATAATTTCACGATTTTCTCAAGCGTAAAGAAAAACACATGAAAATATCTTTGTTAAAATTAAAAATAGACAAATATTTCCAATATTCTCATAAAAATAATACTTATTCCTACTCCAAAAAAAAAAAGGGTTCTTCCTCAATTAATGCTTTAATAATTAGGTTTCAATTGAGGGAAACAGCATATCAGACAATCATTTTAATTAACGACACGCTCGTCCAGTATGGCGGTCGACGAGGTCCGCCTGAGAATAACGAGGATCCCGGTTAGTTGTGTGTGCATGTCAGCGGACGAGGAAGCGGAAACGCGGCGTAAAAAAATGCATGTGAGAATCGGTATCCTGTAACGAGACTTTTGGTACGGAACCTGTTACGTAAAGCGGCGATTCGCTGGCTCGCGAAAGTCGAGCCGCGATCTCCACTCTTCCGAGTTCGTCTGCCACGCTCTCGTCTCGCGATCCATGGATCTGCAACCTCGATCTCTAAGTCGCGAGTTTGCTCTTCGTTCATGAAAACAGTCGGATATATCACGTGAAATGCCTAGGTACATTATCCTTCAACAGTTTAGAAATCCTGTGTACTAATCCTTGGAATATTAATTCTTTGCATTTGGAGAATTTTGGAAAATGACCAATCTCTGGGAATTTTGGAAAATTACTAATCTCTGTGAATTTTGGAAAATTGGTAATCTCTGTGAATTTTGGAAAATTGGTAATCTCTGTGAATTTTTTCATTCAATTTTCAAAAATACAGTTTGCTAGCATAGATAGAAATTTGGTAACGACACTTGTAACGTTAAAGGTGGCAATAATTAAAATCCTGATTTTGGACAGTGAGTTTTATTTACATTTGATAACATATATAAATAGAGGATATTTCATACATCGGTAGTTTTCATGTAACACAGTATGTTTACAATATAATTTCATACATATACAACTTGAAAATTGCATAAAGGTTTAATGAAAATCCACGATTATTTTGTTGTTACTATTTTTAATGAAATATCAATTACTACTATTTCTTTTTCGTATTTAGTCTCGATACTTTACTATGAACAATGGCACGTGTAAGTTGTTGCTTCATAACAGAAAGTGTATTTACAGATCATTTACATTAATATGAATTAGAGACTTATTAATAACTACTTCGGCGAAATGATAGATTTACAGTGTCAAGCATCAAGAAATTACGTTTGGTCTGTCTGAAAATAATTGTAACTCTTCGAGGTGAGGTATAGGTAATGGTTCGATACTAAACAAGGCGAGATTTTAGGTTTCATCGACGAACGAGGAAGTTATTATTTTAGGCAATTCCTTGCAAGTTGTGCTTGAAAGTTAAATCGTTGCGAGAATAATGCACGCAGTTTTCCTCTAACGTTTGCCAAAGCTGAGAAAATTTCTCGAGGAGAAACGAATCGATAGCTGTTATCGGGTTTCAAGGGGAATCTACTGTGAACAACAAAAGAAAATTTTCTTTTCGTTGGGTAAACATCATTCCATCAATTTCTCCTTTCTTTTTTTTTTTTAAAGAAAATAAAAATCAATCGTTTCCCTTATTTGTTTTAAATAAATGCTAAAAATAATGTTCAAACATGTTTCACTGAATGGATAAGAAACTGAGAATCTTGGATAACAGAATCTTTGAAGAAAGGCATGTGAAAATTAATTCTCAGTTAATAATACATTATAAGTTTACCGATAACACATTTATTAATACTTAGAGTGTTTTCATTTTTAGCATTAAGTGTGCAGAAATATTTAGAGACCTAAATTAACCTGTTAACTGAGTTTCGAACAGAAATCGAATCTTTCTATGCAGTTTGTCATTAAAAATGAGTGAAAATTATAACCAATTACTTAATTCTTTTTTCTTGCAGATGAATTAAAAACGAACAATTCCTCGATAAATAAACTGTCGCGCTCTAAATATTGGCTAATCAATAACGAGTTAGCTCATTTCGCCCAGTTAACAGATTAAAGGCTAAGAAATTTCGCGTTCCTCGTTTTTTCACGAATATTTGCATATTCACTTCTTAAATTTGTTGGACTAAATAACCGAATAAAAAATATTGTTAGCATTCAGCGAAAGACAAGAAATTACACCTTTGCCCCAATCGAAAGTTTCACCTAGCACAATTTACACCAAAAACCATATTTGATTTTACATTAACTCCAAAGATACTTGATTCCAAAACAGCAAAACCATAAGATCTATCCATCATTCTATCCAACTCCTACAATCTCGTTACAGACAAAAAAATTCTTCAAAAAACACCACACTCAACGACCCATTTACCTTTCTCCCATTCCAAAAATCGTTCCAATTAATCGATAATTAACTCCATTCTCGTCATCTGCCAACATATCGATTCTTGTGATACATCCAGTCCTCCTTGATAAGATCACTCGCCTTCTCACCGATCATGATCGTAGGAGCATTCGGATTTCCACTGACGATAACAGGCATGATGGACGCGTCAGCCACTCTGAGTCCCTTCACGCCGTAAACTCTCAGTCTAGGATCCACCACAGCTGTAGGATCCCTTTTCGGTCCCATCTTGCACGTCCCGGTAGGATGATAAATGGTAAAAGTGAAATGCCTGATCGCACACTCCCAATAATCATACGTATCGAAGGGATACCTGTGACAGCCAGGCATACGAATAGTATGAGGCCTCGAACCGAACCTCTGAAAGGCTGTAGTATTGGACAACTGCATGGCTATCCTTATACCTTCCACCAGAACGTCCATATCCTCCTTATGAGTGAAATAATTCGGATTGATATCCGGATAAATCATTGGATTCTTGCTCTTCAAACGCACCCATCCGGAGCTCTTAGGTCTCAAGAGAAGAGGTAAAATGGACCAGGTCTCAGCCTGATTCAGCGGCTTGTACATAGTATTGTACACTCTGTCCCTCAGACCTAGAATCTTCTTGATCTGATCACCCGCGTCGGAGTTGATCGAACTGGGCGCGAAATGGAACTGAATATCGGGATACTTCCCCGAGATATCTGCGTATTTGGAGTTCACGAAAGCTAGACCCTCTACTCCAGGAGTGGTCATGGGTCCTCTTTCGTTCAACACGTACTCGATCATCACCGGCATAGTCTGGAAGCGGTCTTTCTTCAGACTGATCGGCTCGTTCACTATGAAAGTGAGTCCTCCAAGTCCCACGTGGTCTTGGAGGTTGTCTCCGACTCTCAGGTCTGACACCACCGGTATATCGAGCTCTGCCAGGTGTTCTTTAGGCCCTATTCCCGATAGCATCAGCAGTTGAGGTGAATTGATCGAGCCAGCTGATAGAACGATCTCTCGCCTGACCCTTATCACTTGCTGTCGACCGTCGCGCAGAATCTTCACGCCTGTGGCTCGCTTGTCGTCGTTGAACAAAACCTTGAGCGCCTGCGAATTCATCGCTATGTGAAGGTTCTCCCGGTTCTTTACCGGTCTCAGAAATGCTTTCGCCGTGGAGCAACGACTGCCTCGACGAATGGTCCCTTGGGTTAGCATGAAACCGGTCTGCTCCTTGCCGTTTATGTCCCGATTCTCGTAACCTAACTCCTGGCCGGCTTGCAGGAACGCGATCGATAACGGTGTTCTCCATGGGGCCTCTTGAACTGTTAGGTAACCGCCTGTATTGTGATAAGGAGTTCTTGCTAGGTAAGGGTTGCGGTTGTCCTCGGATTTCAGGAAATAAGGGAGGACCTCGTCGTAGCTCCAGCCTTCGTTGCCCAGTCTTGCCCAGTTGTCGTAATCGCGTCTGGAACAAGCGAAACTGTAGCGGTGAGAAATATAGTTAGGTGTAGAAGTCTTTGTATATCTGTTTCTTTTTTTTTTTTTAAGGATTAAAACAAACTAACACTATATTAGAAAACTTTTCAAGCAATTGCTTGTGTTTATTCCTCGAAAGTTTGAAATCGACTGTTCTTTATTCTTTTTGGCGTTAGAAAGAGGTTCAATCTTCGTCTGAGAAGACGACATACAGGGTTGACCGATAAGAATTACTACCTTAAAAAAGCAGATTAAAAGATGCTGTTTTATCAATTTCCAGTGTTTTACAAAATCGAACTTTTTCTAATTTAGTGTTTCATTTGGAACTCGAAGTTTAGTTTTCCATTTTCAATTCTATACTCAAAGTATCAAGACTGAAAATTATTGTTTAAATATCTGTTCAACATAGTCTGAATACGTGATACATTTTATTTGTTCAGTTTCAAAGAGTTCAAAGCCTTCGTTCAATGTTATAGAATCCAAATTCATCGTTTTATCTTCTGCTAGCAAACAAAATTGGAAAATTTTATAAAGTTAATCGTACAAACTAACGAAGCGTGTACTCTTCGTCGAACGTAATTACAGCGACTCCCAGCAAAACTTCCCTTCGTATTTCCCTAATTAGTATGCAGATACTACTCCCTGTTATTTTCCTGCAATATTCCCGCATAACCGTGCATCGAACCTCTTCCTATTATTCGTAACTGCCTCGATTTACAATTCTTCCGGTTCCCATATAGCCGGTACACAATAACGGACTAATTGAAAGCAGATTTGATTAATCGATCCTGAATTACCGATTACCCCGGACATAAACCATGGCGTTCAGCACACTGCTGCCACCGAGCACCTTTCCACGTGGCCAGTTACACCTGTCGCCGTTCATAGCGAGACAGTAGGCCGACAGAGATGGCGGTGAAGTTTGATACTTCCAGTCGAACTCTGATAGCTGGGTGTAGCCAGCCAGTAAAGGCACGTCTGAGATCTCATTTTCATTACCGCCCGCTTCCAAAAGTAACACGGTCCAATTCGACACCTCTGATAATCTCGACGCGATCACCGCACCTGCACTGCCTCCTCCGACCACTATGTAATCGTACATTCGCAGCAGCTGAAATAAAAGTTTTATACGAATTAACTGGATTATTTAGAATTGTTCATATAAAAAGTGGTTTTGTAAATTGTAAAAATATGAAAGGGAAAGGTTGTTGGAAAGTATGTATTGGATAAAATTTGGGGATCTGTAATCTGTTTGACCGACTGTAGATAAAGTAGATCTGGATCATTTATTTTAGTTGGTAGAATGTTGTTCGTGGTTTTTGTACGGTTATATAAATTGTTTCGGAATTTTAAGTGCAAGGCTAATGGGTCAGTTCCATTCACTTTCTGTGATTGCAGTGAGTATAAAAACTATTTGTACAATTTTCTCTTTACCTTGATATTCATGTAGTGATTAATTCAATTCGAATGTATTAAGTGGTGTTTAATCTGAACAGAAGTATGGAACTTAACAAAAGGAATAAATGTTTCTATCCAATACGACGTCGAAGAATTAATTTTCAAAATTTGGAAGTTTAACTTTGCAAATAAAATTTTTATTCGAGTAATATCCAATTTCACCAAACATCATTTTCTTACAAAAATAGTTCTACATTTTTTGTTTGTTTTGGGGCAAATAAATTTCAGTAAACATTCGAACTGCATGGAAAAACGTACAGAGTTCGTTCTGTTCATTTCACCATGTGCACTTACGGTTCCGAAACACTTCGTAGATTGAAACTTCGATCAAACCTGGCGTGCATTAGTCGGATGAGATTCTGGATCCGCTTGGTTGTATCGAAATACGGTCAGGCCGATTGCTAGGAGGGGAATCAGGGTGAATCCGAGGACCGAAGTAGTGCTGAGGAAAGTAGTCAGCCCTATTGCCATTTCCGCTTAATTCCACCCCGCGACAGCCACGTCCAATTGCCTGCCATTCGACGAGACGAATGTGTCACTCGAAGCTCTGAGGAACGCTGGTTTATCTGAAATTTATGGAATTTAATAACGATATTGCCAAGGAAATATTTCTATTTATAATAGTCCACAGAATATGGATATAACAGTTATCAGATTCTTTAAACCTGAAACAGTTTGTTTAAAAAATAATTTTCACAACTAGTTTCGTTATTTTAAATTTATAAAAATCATCGGTCTTTGAGTGAAACAATTCTTTGAATGCTACTTTTACAGTGTCTTCATTTTGGAATAATTTATTTGTTGAAAAATTGTTCAGGTGTTCGAAGAAATGCTAATCTTATTGGGGAAAGATTGAGCGAATGGAGGAGAATTTGGCAAAATTTTATATTCTTCACAGTTAACAATAATTCTTTTTTTAAACGTTATCATCGACTGCCTTATCTGGCCTCTTAGCATATTTTTCTTGAATTTTGCACACCAACGTTGAAGTGTCCTAATATAAATTTACATTTTCATCAATTTTTCCAAGTTTAAGCTTATACAAAAAATTTACACGAATATCCTGAATATTCGTCACGTCAGAGAATAATGTCCAAATAATTGTATTATGAATTTTTTTTTTTTTTTTGCTATTCAATACACGTGTACAACAGCAAATTCCTTCTACAGAAATTTATGGTCGGCCAAAATTTCATACACAGTATCAACTCGCTAATTTCAAGTATTTCTGCAATCTTCGTAATATTCGAAATAAATTACCGACAATACTCACGGTAATTACCATAAAACACGGCATGAAGCATTCTCAGTACTCACATTAATGAACAAAACTGCAATATTTATAATACTTGGAATAAAGTATTGAAAATCCTCCTAATAATCGTTACGAAGCATTTAGAATAAAATATTTGTGTAACAATGTTATCTAACGTAATACTTTTTAAACCGATCGCTTTGCACGACCATAATCAGATCGTGCTTTATATTTTTATGCTAATTAATGAAAGGCAAGAATCCAGGTAAAAAGGATTGGAACGTTCGTGTTTCTTTAAAGTGAACAAAAAATGAGAGGCTAAAGAGCATATAATGTTAGGAATTCGCAAGTTTTGCAATTCATGTTGTAACGTGAGAAAAAGTAATAATAATCGCCCTTGGTACAGAAGTGTAATAAAATGAATCACGAACGGATGTAAGTTTTAAGTTACGACAGGACGAGACATCGAGTCGGTCGAAACAAAATCAATTCGAAGATAATTGCGCACGAAGTGTATTATTTTGGATCGTTTAGAAATTGAAACTAGAAGATCAGCTTGTTTAATTAATTTTTTACTTCCGTTATCCTTCGTATATTCTTAGTTTTGCATTAGAATGAACTTAGTTGCACTTGTTTAATTCAAGAAATTTCATTTGCAATTCTCTTTTTGTGCAAATTAAATAATTCATGTGAAACACACTGTCGTTGATTACAGAAACACGCTTTTAAATTACGAATTATACAGGAAGGGACGTTTTGAAATAATTATTAATCAAGCGGTATTTACTCCAAAATTAGAGTAAATTTAACGAATCGACGAATTATTGGAGTTTACGGTGGTCGTCGCAAGAAAAGCGAAAAATAAGAGTATTCATAATTGAGCGGGAATTGTTTCAATTACTCCTCTCTGCGAGCAGTTCATTTAATTAATACACTTTGTTTCGTTCGTTGTTGTACGCGGATTATTTGCACACAAATAAATTCGTAGAGTTTCCTTGCCTCGTTATTTTATTAAAATATCGCGTGTTGCAAGGGAAAGCATTTTCATTTGTACTTTTTATCATTGCACAGTCTTCGGTGTAATTTTAAATAATGTTTCTGCAAACAGTTTCGCACTTTTCATAAATAATTTCCTCGGTGTTCCTTTTTATCAAGAACTTTTTCATTTTTTGTACTTTTAGTACCACTGTGAAAATTCTTTGCCTATTAATTAGAAATTCTATTCAGTTTTGCTAGTTATTAATTCTATTATATTTATAGCTAGTTCTAATTTTATTCGGTGTTACTTAGCTGTGTTAGTTATAAATTTTATTCAACTGTCACAATTCTTCAAAATTATTACATACACCTTCTACTACAATAATTTCCTCAAAAGTTTCTATCACGTGCAGTCTGAACGGTTCCAAATTAGCTAAAAAAGCGCAACAATTAAAATCGTAAAATACACCTCGAAATCATTATTCAACAAGAGTTGTCGGTGTTTTATTCGAAAGCAAAGTACACGTGTACCGATGACACTGTTTTCGCGAAACACTATCGATCGTGAACAAAATAAGCAAAGCACGACACAAATATACCAAAAAGTACGAATTCTCGTTGTTTTTCGCGAATTGAAAGATGGCACTCGCTGGCAAAAATTGATCATTGGCGGAATTTCTACGGTCACTTTTTATCTTATCACCTGTATTCTACTTACTCCACTTTATCATGGCACCAACGGAATTTCCCGCGGTTTACAACCGTTTTTCCGACAAGTTGCCGAGTTTATCCGCGTGGAGAAGTTTTAAGCACCGCGGGTTCGCGTGCACGACGAACGAGAGCCGGCAAATGGCAGCGAGAAAACGCAGCACTGGCTGCAACTAGCGGCGAGTGCCGAGAGTGAAAACCAGTCGAGAGGTGCCTCCTTTCAATGCCAGCTTCGAAAACCACGAAACGAAACCACGTCCTGACCCCGAACCGCTCGTCGCCCGATCCTACGTGCTCCTCTCTTCCGTTGCGCTTCTTCAACGCCTACTAAACCGTGTTCTTCGGTGTTCTCCTTTTTTCTTTTTTTTTACGACCGTCGTCTATGTACGGAATGAAAATATTGTTGGAAGGTCTTCTGGTTTGTTAGCTATATTTCAACCGCGCCATTTTTTCCTTTTTTCTTTTTTTGCACTTCCGGTAGTCCCTTTCTTTTGAGCGGTGCGGCTGTTTCAAGGTATAGGAGATATCGTACAGCTGTTTCTGAATGCAAAATCTAAGTCTAACAAATGTATTTGGGAAATGTGGGAGAAAAAGATATTTGCGAAATTTGTTCAGAATAAGAATTGTTTTAATGGGAGAATGCAGAAATTTTTTATGGATCCCTAATATATTAAAAAGATAAGAAAAATTTGTCATTGTTGAATTTAAATTTAAAAAATTTTTGAATTGAAATTTATTTAAATTAAAAATTCAATTTTAGCGGGAGTACAGAAATTTTCAAGGGATCCCTAGTATATTAAAAAGAACAGTAATAGTGCAGTAAAATATACTTGTCATTGCTTTATATAAAATTTATTCGTGAAATTTGAAATTTGTTCACACTAAAAATTTAATTTAGTGAGAGAGTATGGGAATGTTCAGGGGATCCCTAATATATTAAAAAGAACAGTAATAGTGCAGTAAAATATACTTGTCATTGCTTTATATAAAATTTATTCGTGAAATTTGAAATTTGTTCACACTAAAAATTTAATTTAGTGAGAGAGTATGGGAATGTTCAGGGGATCCCTAATATATTAAAAAGAACAGTAATAGTGTAGTAATTATATAAAATTTATTTGTGAAATTTATTTAGAAGCAAATTGAAATGATTTTGACTGAAAAAAATTCTGCCTTCAGTGGTAATTTTAGGTACACATAAGAATTTCTATTTCTTTCTCCGTAGATTATATAAAATAGCGATGGTGTTACGGATGAATATCGAACACGATTTCCTTGACACTTTTACTGTAACGAAGTAAATAGGTCAAGGTGTTCGTTATTTTCAAATACGTTTGGCTCGCCAACGTTCACTAAAAAACAAGATAAATTGCTGTTAGCATCGACAGTATCAAATCCTTTCAAACTTCTGATTTCATTTGCTGAATTTCGAGGATGAAGTTCGTGAAAGGATTTTTGGCGAGTTTGATAAATGATGATTGAATAGGAGGGAGTACCTAGTTGAAATCTACAGTAACTGGGCAAGCATACCAACGAGACAGGGAAATTTTATAGAAAGGTCAAGTTGAAATCGTTAGAAATTATATTCTACGTCGAAATTTATTTTGAACCTGATTGAATTTCACAAAAATTCAACCTTATCGAAGATCAAAAATGTTTCTTACAGTTATTTCTTAAAATTAATCCACTGCGCATAAACTGTCTTTCCTTGTGCTCTCTGTTGTGTTAATTTTACTAAAAAAAAAAAAACACTCAGCAAGAATCTTTATTTCAACATTATTTATTTACATTGTCACTATTGTTTGTATATTTTCCCTTTATACAAGGTAATTGTTATAACCTGTCCGCATTCACTGCTCTTTTAAATTTTCATGCACAAAGGTATGCACTCTGTTTAAAAATTTCAAAGTTACCAAATCTGCTTGAAAGTTATTTAAAAAGAAACCGTGCTCTTCTCTCGATACCGTGCAGTTTCTGTATGAAAGACTCTTTTGTAGAACACATATTTTAAAAATGATCGAAAGTGGATGTAATATTGTGACTCACCCTGTACGTATATCGGTCATTCTTCATTTTTCAGTATAACACATCTGCCTATATCTTTTAACAAGATCACCTCAGTAGAGCCTATAAAATAACATTCTTAATAGACCACCCTGTATATTGCACGCCCATTTCAATTTGCGGCGCGTAAAATGATAACATTCTTGCAACGTATAAAATAATAACCACGCTCTATATTGCACGTTCATTCGAAATTGCAACGCATAAGATAATAATATTCTTGCAACGTATAGGAGAAGGTCTAAATATGGGCCAGCGCTTTTATTTCAAGATTTATTGTCAAACTTGTGGATAACTTTTAAGATATAACACTCGATATGTATAATACTGTACGCCCATTTCACATTGTGACGCATAAAATCACAACACGTCCATTCAATTTCTTAAATATCTTTCGTCTGTCGAACGGAGCCCCGCTTCCCCGGCGGAACATTTCATTTCCACGAACGGAAGTGCACCGTCGTGG